AACATATTTTTCATTTTTGCCCACTTTAGGACAATGGGCAAAGGTCATGGATACAGTTTGAAATGCCTTTTGCAGTAATTCTATTTGCAAATATTTGAATCTTTGCATATAGTTGTTCTTTTGGAGTTGTGTTTCTGTCCACATGATGAATATGTCCAGTTTTACTTTTTATTAGCTCAGTTTTTGGTCTGCACCTACCTATAAAAGACATATCTGGTTCTTTTGTTACTAAATGCTTCAGCATACGTGCTAGTTATGCTGTTTAGTTTAGTGATAAGGAGATGTGGGGTGAGAAGGGAGGTCTTGAACATACAAAATTAGTCAACGATATACTCAAATGGTGCACTTTTGAAATGTGGTGAAACTGGGGGATTGCACTGTTGATGTGCTGCCAACCAATCTGCAACAACTGTGTGATGCTATCATGTCGATATGGACCAAAATCTTTGAGGAATGTTTCCAACGCTTTGTTGAATCTCTGCCACAAAGAATTAAAGCAGTTCTGAAAGCAAACACTAGGTCCAAGGTTAACCTTATAAAGTGGCTGGTAAGCATATATAAATCTTCATGTGCCTTTTTTAAGGAGTACCTGTAGCAATGAACCTAAAGAATTATGGCAATTCATTTTCTTTCAGCTCAGTTGTGCTAGTTCAACAGCGTAAGCATTTCTCAGTTTGCATTTTGCTGTTTTAGCTTGATTGTGGGCCCCTACAGGCAGCCAGCCAGGTGCTTAACAGCAGAAGAAGAAGACAGCCACAGTTAGCAAGGAGTAAATGAGCATATCTGTAAGGTCCAGACATTTCAGTCAGTAGTTAGTAGTAGTTAGTACAGAGCAAAGACTGAAGCTTGCATTCACTGGATGAGAATCATAATGATGATTTTATTGTGTTTCTGTTGGATTTACTAAACGGCTTTTAAATCAGCCCCATTTACCACTGGTTGTCATATTTCATATATCTCCTTCAGTGCAGTCTGTTAGTTATTTGCTAACACGTTTTCGAGGTCAACGTAAAATGAGATATGTTATTGTTGTGAGGCCAACCCTTCAGTACATGTTGATCATTTTCAGGCTCATTTTCTCAAAGCTTTACTGTCTGATGAAGTTGCTGATGAAGCAGACTGTGAGGTCTCAGCTCACTGATGTAACAGAGTCCATTGCCAGTGGAAATTTGGAAAACACTTAAGAGAGATTTGGTTTGCTAAGAAGCAGAGGGAAAGTTTAAGCTCCTTCTGTCTCAGTCTTGTTCCATTGGCAAACAGGTATCCTGACAACAGGCCCCGTCTGCTACTTATGTCAGATTTGGTAAATTGAGCCAAACAAAGAAAATCTGAGCCCTTCAAATTTATTATAAAGTTCCTGCTGCAATTATAGTTTTCTCTCTGCTTTCTGATTTTCTCCCATGGCCTTTTTTTAAATTATATTATAAGCTTTAAATCCAAGTTACAGGCAGTGTTGTGTATAATTTTGCTGCATCAGTTGCTTTGTTTGAGTTTTCTTTAAACTTCTCTTTGTATCCTTTTGTCTTCTCTCCGTTCATTTTACTATCAAAGTCTGTTGAAGCTTGCTCGTATTAAATTCACGACCTTGAACGTAAACATGATAAAGAGTAGATGCATATACAGACAGGACTGAGACACCAGACCACATGTTCCCAACCTAGACTAAGCAAACTAATTTACAAGTTCTTGTCAAAGGTTTCATCTTTCTATGAGTTTTAATCATTTTGAGCAAAGATCAGTAAAACCTTCTCAGAGTTGGTCTGTTTAAGATCTCAGTCATCCAGGTAATAGTAGTCTTCGTTTGGTTTTTGTAGATGTTTTGCCTTCATCCAAGCTGCTTCTTCAGTTTTAAAGCGGCTGGTGGAGAGTCCCAGATTGCACCCCTAATGAGAGCTGTCCTCTTCAGAGGTGTTCCCCTGTAAGGTAGTTTTTCTATTGTAAAGTTCAACAGTTTAACACAGGAGTCTGTGGGGGACTGACTCAGTTTTGGAGCCAACCTCAAGTGGACACTGGAGGAACTGCAGGTTTTTGGACTTGTGTGGGGGCTTCATTTTTTAGCAGTTGGTAATGGTTCTTCATCTCTGTTTCTTGGATCATTTTGTTTTGAAATCATTCACCTTCACATTAGTTTTACTTCTAGTTTTTGTTTAGTTCTCCATGGCTTCCCGCTTTGCTAAGCAAAAATCATTGAGACTTTCAGATTACTGATTAAAGATTTGAATGTTGGACTTCAGTCTGTCTTTGGTCTCCTCCTCCTCCTCCTTCATCTATAAATTATTAAAATGTTTCTGACAGCCCTCAATTAAACCATTAAAATAAGTGTAAAGCATCATATATTGTGACACTCCTTATGTTTCCATTTACTCATTTTATTTATTTATTTATTTTAAACTCTATAAATATCTCGTTGACACACTGGAATTTTGTTGCACTTGTTCATTTCTGCTGGGGCACTTGACCCACAGTGCAATGCGTTGCAGGACTGCTGGGACATGAGTGTATGCCGAAGATAGAAAAGCCACAACCACATAATTACAGAGCACTTTGGGTGTCTCCAAACTAGAAAACCATAATGTCCTTCCTTTTTTTCTAAGCTGTAAAATAGCCACAGAACAGCTGAGAGTTAAATATCTTACTCAGTCTCAATGGGGCAGAATTTTATGTAATATTACCTCTTTTCCTCTTTCTAGATAACTGAAGGTCTCTCTCTGCTGCTTACCTGAGATCTTGACTGGTGGAGGTAGCACGGTGGCACGGTAGTTACGTCAGCAGATGGCCAGCTGGTGTATTCTCCCGTGTCTGTGTGGGTTCTCTCCAGGCACTCCTGCTTCCTCCCACAGTCCAAAGACATGTAGTTAGTTGGGTTAGGTTGATTCTCAATTCCGTCTGTCTGAATGGTTGTCTATTTTAGCCCTGCAACAGACTTGCAACCTGTGCACAATGTCTCCTGTTTTTTGTAGCTGGAATAGGCTTTAACTCCCTGTGTGGTAGAAATTGAATGGATGGACTGGCTGGTGTGATGAAATTATTCCATACCAAGATATAGAATGCAGTGGTCAAGATCACTGGGTTTGTCCTAATAACGCAATTACTTATCACATTTAATGAATAGGGCTTCATCTCTGCATCAAGTTTAGTAGAGCTGGAGCTTCAGAGCAGATTCTCTAAGATCAAAATTTATGGACTTTTGATAAGATTGATAAATATTCTCTAATTTACATTTGTGATTAGAACGAGGTAAAACTGTAACTTTTATCAGGGTGTTTTTTGGTGATTGTGTTTCAGCTTCACATTTCATTCTGTGGACCAGTCAAATGTTGATTTCACATCTTCATATTTACTAGTGACTGAATTTGAGGATGTCTTTATCAAGTTGATTTTTTTAAAGTACAAAACAAATAGTTCAGTGCACAAGTTATGTTTGTTCTTTTACAACAAATGCAGTACGAATGACCGCTGAAGTACCAGTGTCAGCTGGAGCCACTCTGCTGCTGATGCTGACTTTTTAATTGAGATTTTGAGTGAGATTTCACCTCAAGAATCAGCAAAGTATTCAATAAAAATATAGAAAGTTTGAGTAACAGACACATATTCTGATGAATAAATGTCTTGACAACATTGGAGTCAATAAATAATGTTTTTGTTTTAGTAGTAAATCAGGTCTTGAATTATTTTGTAGAACTTAACACTAATTAGCCAAAACGATCCAGATTAAAACATTTTCCAGTTAGAAACAGTTTGGATCTTATAACGAACACGCAAACTGCAACTGCAAGAAATTAATTCAGATAAACAAAGAAAAGATGCATGATTATGTTTACTTGGAAGCTTTATTACATTCAGTGCTTTTTGTGCATAAAATTTGATCTGAGGCACTAATTTCCTCAAAACACTGTATGGAAATAATATGACACAGATGTGCAACATAAGAATTTTCTGTCAATCATTTTATATTCAAATCGGTGTTGCATACAATTTTATTGATAATTAGTAGAATTTATTAGACTTATATAATAACATAAAATAATAAAGAAACAGAAGAAACACAGATTGGTTATAGTGGTGTGGAAAACTATGAGCAGCTGCTACTGTCCTTATAAAGTAGAGTCCATATAGTGGTCAGATTATACAATTTATGTATTAAAATCTAAATAAAAATCTATTAATTTCATATCCCAAACCCAAGATTGATCTCACCAAAAAAAAACCCAAAACTGTTTATACCCTCAACAAAGTGAAGGTCGGGTTTTGAGTACGTTCAAACTTCCAGTTTATGTTGCACAACCTCACAGGCAAAATTGTGACACAAGAATATTTAGGCACCTGTCTGTAAACAAAACAGCACCTCAGCATGTCAGTAACAGGGTGTGTGGATAAAACTGAGCCCTTTTCTTTTGTGAGCTCTTGTGCTGTGTGCTGTACAGCTTCAAGTGAAGACATTTATTACCGTATTATTTCACCAACTGAGAACAAGAATAGTTTCCATTTCAGTCTCTCTGCCTGGAATCATTTTCTCTCAAATGCTTTGGTGTAGATGTCCTCAACAGGGCGACGTCAGCACTTATCAGCACCAGCACAATCTCTCTGTGACAGATGAACCGTAACAACAAAGTCCCACGTCCTCCCAAATTTCATAACAGTGGAAAATATTAGCTGATTAGCTCCTGGCAAAGTTTCTGTAAAAATTTTCAAACCCACAACTTTCATAAAAAATGATACAATTTACACTAATGCAAAGTAAGCCAAGAGGTGAGCACTTGTATCTGTCTTGAGAAAGAAACAAAGCTCAGTTGTGTTTGGTCAACGCTGGAAAAGTCTTACTACTCTGCAGCCACCTTAGCAACGCCTTCAGGCACATTTGGGCTATTTTGAAACCTTTCTCTCTGAACAGGATGACAGCCTCAGGATTCATTTCTGTGGTCAAGGGAAAGCAAGAAAATGCTTCCTGAGTTTGGGAATTTTGTCCCAAAATAATGTTTAAAAAACTTTTTAGCTTTTTAGGTGACACATATACCACACTTATTATCGTTATGCTTGGAGTTAGCAGGAAAAAAAGGAAAATGGCACACTTACCTATAGCTTTACTAGATAACAAAAAAATATGCCTCCCACAACACAATTTAAGCACAATCATGAACCTGAACTGTGGAACATCACGCTCCACTACATTTCAGCCGTGGATCAACCACCATGTTTGCTGTTTCATTTCTCTGTATTTTTGTTTTCACAATTCTTTGTGCCTTTTCTCCAGTCTAGTTTATGTGAACTTCTTGTGGATAAATGTCAGAAAAAAGAACATTTCAGCATAAAAAAATGATTGTGGAAGTGCAGTTTGGGAAGGCATATACTGTATAATATCAGACACTGGTACTACAAGAATCGTGAATACAAATCTATGAAAGTCTATGAAATTCCTTAATGGCAAAGACTGCAGATGTTTTGACCCTAATCAACACCTGGGAAACATATTAGCCATATTCATGACCACTGTAACTGTTTAAACATGTCTTCTCCTTTTATATATGCAAAATGTCTGTTCCGTGTGCTGGTGAGATGAACAGCGACTGATTGTGTCGTCACTCCAGACTGAGCAATTAAATGAGTTGTAACATTATCAAACTTTTCATTAGTAGAAGCATAACTGCTGAGAACAAATCACTTTAATCGTTCTTTTGAAAGAAACGTCTTTTTATCTTCTAATGACCACTGAAGTAAATAATCTGGCTTTGTACCCATTCATTTAGATAAGGGCTTCAAAATAACTGCCCAGAGGAGCAACCAAGATGAAGGTTAAAGATGAAGGTGCACCAATTATCTGTGCAGAAATGATGATGTGGTACACAAACAAACACAAACACAGAATGAGCGACTTTTGGAGTTTTGTTCAGTGTCTAAAACATCAAGCTGAGTGAACACAGACGTAGAAGTTTTTGTGCTCCTCCCAGTAGTGAAGTTCATCTTCGAAGCTCCACGAGCAGGCCAGGTCTTTGGTGGATTTGATTGTGTGAACCACACAGTCGCCGGGTAACTTCTCGAACAGGAACTCAGCGACCCCAACCACTGTGAGTTTCTTCTGAGACTGGATCAGCTGTTGGATGTGGCTCTTGTCCACAGGCTCAGGCGAGGAGCTGTAGGACACCCATACGTTCAGTTTCTCATCCGATGAAGGCACTTGGAAGCGGTTCTTTCCCGTTGCGCATTGGAAATCCCTCTTGTTGACAAACAGGCCTGAAGGAGATTTAAATATACGCACAGACCAGCCCACCCAGTCATACTTCTTCTTTAGCTTCTCTACCATAGCATCAGCTAGCTGTTGGTTGGTTAAATCTTGCTGATCTCTCACCAGTCGTCGGGAGTCTTCTTCAGCTTGTTTAGGGAAGCTGACGATGCAGTCTTCAATGACAGCGTTCATTTTACCCTGGACAGCCTTCATCTTCTCACCCCACTCTTTCAGAAGATCGTCCTCCTCGTCATATCCTTTCAGAGCAGCGTGGCCCAGCAGTGCAATGAGCGCAATGCAGAAGAGCTTCTTCAGACGGGCGCAAAAGTCTTCCATCACCCGGCGATTTTTCTCCTCATAGTTAAGGATGATCACGAGCAAAGGTTCCCCAGAGAAACTTTCTCCCATCACAACGTTGTATAGGGTGTTAATATTTTTGTCGCCTCCGGTCTTGGCGAAATGCTCCAGGAAGAGCTTCTTCTTCACTTCCCGGAACTTAGGTTTGGCGTTGAGGATGTCCATGTACTTCCTGAACTGATTAGTAATGTTTTCCTCAACGGGGAAGTACGTAGAATCCACTCCGCTCTTCTTGATCTCCTCGTTGATCCGCTGAAGCTCCTCAGACACTACATCCAGCCGATCTCTGACCTTCTGAAACTGCTCCTTCATGAATGCGGCCTCTTTGCTCTCCACGTTGTCCAGAGCCAGCTTGACAATCGGGGCTGCGATGGAGAAGACGGGGAAGAGGTCACCGGCGATGCTGGCCACCACTTCAGCTCCTTGCTCAAACACTTCCATCACTGTCTCCACCATGTCCTTTTTCTCAGACACAAGCTTCTGTAGTGGATTTGCCATCTTTGCTGACGTCTGTCTCAGACCGAAGAAAAACAATCACATTCTTAGAAACAGTCAGAACTGATCCTCTTGTAATATTAACAACAGTCAAAGTAAAACAGAGATTGAGGGGTCGGTTTTTGGTCTTCTAACTCTACTTACAGCTCTGTTCCAGTGTTGTTGGACTGTAGACTGTAGGCCTTGTGCTTCTTACTACGCAGCAAACACTGATAAGGAAAGAGAGAAACAGCCAAGTGAGCTTCAGTGCTGGCTGCTAGTCACACCCAAAGAGCAATGACTCAACAATGCCAAGAGAGTTCAGTAATGACGGAGGACTGGTATGGGCTGAACTGCTGCATGTTATTCATATGTTAACCGCTGGGAGGTAAAATGTACCTGCTCAACATTTACATTTACATTCAACTTAAACAGCTATTCCTCAACAGAGTGACTATTATGCAAAGACAACATGGAGGAGCACTGACTGGTTTCAAGCCACGCCAAGCCAAGCCTAACGGAGAAACACAGAGCTCACATGCTTACCATGGCAAACTTGCAGAGAATAAAAGCATGTGGAACTAAATTATGTACTTGGACTGTTAAATGCAACTATCTCCTCTTTAAGTCACACTGTTCAATGGGCTGTTTTCCAAGTTAAAAGTACAATTAAATGCCGAAAGAGTTTGAAATCCATTATTTTGTTGCCTTTTTGCAAAGGGTTAAATTATAAAATAGATTCAACATTATACTGAAGCTGTAGCCAGCAACTTAGCTTAACATAAAGACTGAAAACATGTCTGGAAAAACTGAAAACTCAAGGCCAAAATTATCAGGAAGTCTCTAAAAGTGTAACACGTGAAGTCAGGACAGTTCATGAGCTTCTGGCAACAGATCAGTTCCCATAAAAGCTGAACGAAAGGAAGACGGTGTGATATTTCTGAAAGCTTCACTTTGAGTAGTGAAAGTCTGTCATTTCCAAAGCGTTAAAAATGGCCATAGCACCAAAGCTGCTAACCGACACACATAAGGTGTGTGTGCTCGATGCTCTGGGTTTATAGAAGTGAAACAGGTCATGACAGACATATGAGGGCTTGTAAAGAATCCTTTAGTCTCATATATTGGATGGGCTTCACTTTTCTACATGCAGGACTAACGTTGTCGAAGCAGTGAACTTTTCCTAAAGCTAATCAAGCAAGTAAAATCAAGGGTTAAATTCAAGATGGCAATAACCCTTCCACAAATTAAAGCATGCTGTGCATTTATTGATATGCAGGGGGAAAAAGTTTTCCCTTCATTTCAGCCTAAAAACCGGATCCCTGTTGAACTTGGAAAGTCTTAGTCTGAACATTTCCAAATTCCAGGACTCACAGCATGAGCAACACTAACTGATTTCCTGGGCATGTTCAGACATGTCCTTGGTGCAAATCTGGAAATGTGCAATTTTGGGAGAAACTTTCATTTGTGTGGAAAAAAAACAGTCCACTGTGACTGTTTATTTTGCAGCTCTCGGTAAAGAATCTGCCGTCACACTCTTCAGTTCAGCTTTCTGGTCTTGTTCACATGGTGTGTTTCATTTGGAGCTGAGTGAGAAGCAGCAGTGCTGTTTCTCCTCAGTCGATATCAGAGCAGCAGGCGTGGGAAGTGATTAAGTGTAAAGAGGTTAAACTTGCTGGGCGAGGGTGCGTTTTCCAGTGAAACTCAGCAAGTTACCACGGCAACAAGACAATGGAAAATAATCTGTAGGCTCATTTATCTTTCTGCTGAGGTCAAGTCTGTCCCAGGGGGGTTATGTGGCTAAACTGCAGTAGATAGCACCATTTCTCAGGCTGATGCATCTCACACCTCTGCAGCTATCAGACACCAGCACGAAGGATGTCTAGACAGGTGATCAGAATTTAGCAAATCTGAACACAGATTAAAGGAATAGTTTGGCCTTTTTTGAAAACACACCTACGTTTTTCTTGGCAGGATGCAGATAAGAAGCTATCCTCTCACAATAAACAACGTTATAACCAGCACAATGGGTGGTGGAAATGAAAGAAACTTAGATGTAATCATCTCTGACTATAACCTAAGTAATATATAAAAAAGACATATTGCCTTTTTGACAATGTCAGCAAATACTGAACACATTCAATCTTTATTTGAGGGGAAAGCTGTTGCACTGGATTGCATTAGATTTTTACACTTGTACTTAATAAAGTGCCCAGTAAATGTTCATCTTGTTTGATTAATTTATACAAAAACTTAAACGCAAAAGAATTTGGGGTTTAGCTATGTTTTATTGGCTACATTTTGGCCTGGAGTCAAAGTCACTGCTCCCGGCCAAGAATTCTTTGGGAAAGGGCCAGACATGTTGTTTACCAGTCTTTATGACAAACTAAGCTAATCAGTTGCTTCATATTTATGGAGAAATATGATTAATTTCATCTAACTCTCCACAAGAACTCTATCCTCAAAGTGTCACACCTGTGAATAAACAAACACAAACCTCTTCAACAAAAAAGTGATATAAAGGATATGATATGTTCAGCAACCCAGAAAGCAAAGAGGAAACGGGAAGGCTGTTCACTTGGCTGTTTCTCAAATATAACATATGTAGGATGTTATATTTGTGCAATTTTGTTCTAAAAATTAAGAAAAACAGCAAAGTAGGAAATTCCAGCAGGGTTTAGAGCATTTCCAGTTACTGCATCTCATTTGATTTAAGCATAAAAAATGTTTCCACTGATGTTATCTCTCGGTTTCGCTACTTCTCGGGGTCTCGTGGGTTTTGTAACTGCAGTCTGAGTGCATGAAACACCTCCACGCAGATGCTTCAACATAAAAGTGCTTAAAGAAATCACATTTTCATAGACAAAGAGCTGCTGCGGCTCACATAACAGAGATGCACACCGCAGTCTGTGTACTGCCATTTAGATGCTGTTTTAGTCATTCTTCTGCTGCTCCTATTTGACCAGTATATTTTCTAACTCCAGGGCTTTTCAGATCAAGCGTTTACACTAAAATCTAAAGAAAATGCAAAATGATTTCTGTGATTTTTGGGTTATTTAGTTACATTTCAGGTATCTTTAAGTTGTTCACAGTTATACAAACATGAATTTTCCTTTTTAAGTACTCAAAGACCAAAGAGGAGGGTAAATACAGTATATTCTACAAATCAGCAAACATTATAAAAGTGTCTTTATCTTTTTTGTATTACATTAATACTATGATGACCTTTCAGTTGTGTGTGACCCACTGGAGAGGTGTAAGCTTTGGCTCTGTCAGCTCAGGACTGAACTGACCAATAATATGCTGCTTATGCGTTGATACGGTCTCAAAGAGCAATATAATAAAAATATCAGCCAGGGTGACGGTTTTCTTCTCATCTATTATTACTGTGCAGAATTTAAACACTGTGATATGCCAATGGCAAATTTATATGAGATCTGTGCAGTGGCAAGAAACGCACAACGCGCATGCGCTATCTGCACTGACTTTAGTGCCAGCTTCATCTGGACAGTAGAACAAACCCTCCATCTGACAGCTGACCACTCAGTCTGACCACTGAGCAGGGAAAAAACTTAACGCTCTGTTAAATGCGCTCTCTTAATGGATGAAGTATCGATCAGTCCGCGCGCGAGGGTTGTAATTGTATCGTTTTACATCTGATGGGCAGAGAAACAAACAAACACAGCAGCTTCACACCACAGATTAGGTTTGCGTTACAGCGCAGCCGCGTCAGTGGATTAAAAAACAAGCACTTCCTGGAAAAAGTAAAGCGGTGGCACCAGATCTGGCAACCAACGCCCATAAAAGTTTTGCCTGAACTGCATTAAATTTTGCAGATTCGTCTAATCACCCACTCCGCTTTATTAAAACAACCCGCGTTAACAAAATATACGAGGACTTTTAACAGCAGTGAACAAAAAGCGGGTTTAAAAAAAAACAGCTCGATTATGTAACGAGAGTGGCATGAAGTCGATTAAGCTGAATCGATCTCCACTCATCAGCACTAACACTACCGCCACAGGACCCTTATAATGTCTCTGCTCACACGCAGTTAAAATGTGCCTGTCCACTATGAAACATTTTCAAGAGAAACGGACTCACCTCATAAAGTTTGCGGAAGAACTCTAACTTCCAGACTGTTTGCCTTCCTATTGGTCATGTGGCTCTCATGTTACAGAGAGCAGACACACCCAGTCAAACCCAGAAGAAGTACAAGAAAAAGAAAAAATCCTGGGTGGTGGAGGGAAAATCAGTTGTGAGCATAATAGTCTGTTGTTGATATTGTATACAGATCGGCCTCCACCCATCTAATAAACAAAGGCATGTTATTACAGCATTATAACCGTTAAAGAGCTAATCTGACTGAGTTCGTTTGAACGCAACACGACCCTTTAAATAAGAGAGTAACGACGATAACAAAGGATGACAAAATATCCGTAATTTTAGTTTATTATGGATGAAAGTAAAACATTAATCGTATGTGAAAGGTTTCCCACACAGCACCAAACACAGCAAAATATTTGATTTTTTTTTAAATAAGCTTTTATTTGGAGAGTGGGTAATATTAATGGCACTATCTACCACAGTATTAGTCATTTGTGCACACACAAAACAAAAAAATTCCACCTGTATGACTAACAAAGGTTATCTTATCTTTTTATAACAGGGCACCTGAATTTTTTTAAGTGGTTATTTTTTGTTTGTTTGATTGTTTTGTTGAGATTAGACGAGCTCTACTGCTCTAATGTGAACTTAAATCATTCTTAAAGCCTTCATGAGTGCTTTGGCTTCCTTCCACAGTACACATAATTGTGACTCTAAGTGGTTCTCAGCATGAATATATCTCTGTCTGATATAGCGGTGATCCATGTTACCTTGGCCCTCACCTGTGACAGCTGAGGTAGGCCCAAGGGACAAGCAGAAGAAAATGAATGGACGGATTTCTCTTTCGATTTTAATATAGAAATCGAAGGCTAAGCAAGCAAATATACACATTTCCCCCAAATGTAGAACTATTCTTTTAATTGTTGAACACCTCTTTAATATTTTTTTATTCAGAACCAAGTCGCTGACTAATAATCCCATCCAAACCCAGTTTTGATAGTCACGAATGTCATCTTCAGAACATCCAAAGCCAGCATTTTTCCAAGGGTAGATTTTCACATATAATCTTAAAATCTCTGAAAGCTCACAAACACATATTTCTCAGTCATCCACCCTTAGCAGGCTAATATTCAGTGGGAACAGATTCACGACCCTAATGCTAAGACAAAGCTGGCATGGACACATCTGGCTCTGAATTTTCTCACCTCAAAGCTACACATATAAGAATATAAATTGTTGCATTAGACAATGGGTCACATAGCAAAACCCAGACAGAGCTGATTACACATCAACAGAGGCAAGATTTAGGAATACATTTCTATATTGAATGGAGATATTTTCAAGTCTCTGATAAAGACATTCATAAATTCATCAATAAGAAGGTACACATTACATTTTTCATTGGCCTACTCAGGATGAATGCACAAGTACGCTCGTTTGTGTTTTCCAAAGTAGTAACAATCCTCTTGGAAGTTGGTGGACTGCACCACTGCCTTGTAATGGCTGACAGCATGGACCAGGCAGTTGGGGAAGCTTTTGTTCAAAGACAGAGCAACTGCCATCATGTTCCCCTTCAACTTCTCCTGCTCAATCTTCTCCTGGATCTGACTCTTGTTAATAGGCTTGGGGTTGACACAGAAAGAGACCACAATCTTGATCTTGTTCTTGGTCAAAAGGTCAAACCAGTTGGCTCCCCCACTTCCATGGTACTTCTTTCCAGCTAGCCAGTTAAAAAAGAAAATGCGCTCCCGGTCATTAAAGGCCCTGATGGACCAGTTCACCCAGTCGTATTTCTTAGCAAGAGCATCCAAGATGGTGTTGGTGAAGTTCAGGTCGGCAGTGCCCGGGTTCTCCTGAACTAGATGCTCTATGTCCACCTTGGCTTGTGTGGCAAAGTTCTCTGTACAGTCATCCACAGCTGCTTTCATTCGCTTTTCCACTTCCTCCATTCGTCCTTGCCACTTCTTCACCATCTCCTCCCCAACTCCTCCTTCCTTGAGGGCAGCATAACCCATGACAGCGATAATGCCAACCACAAAAAGCTTCTTCAGTCGAGCACAGAAGTCCTCCACTGCTCTTCTGCTTCTCTGCTCTGTATTAACTACAGTTTCCAGCATAGGGTCTCCTGAGGTGTTCTCCCCAGTGACAGAATTGTAGAGGGCATCCAAGTTTAAATCCATATCGGTGCTCTCATAATGGCTGATGAATTTCTCCATCTTTTCTCCTTGAACTTTGGCTTGGCGTTGACAAAGACCTGAAACTTCTCATACTGGCTGATCATCTGTGCCTCTCGATCAAAGTTTTGCTTGTTCATCGACGTCCTCTGCAGCTCCAGGGCAAGTTTATCAATCTCATCTTGGATTCCTTCAAGTTTCTGGTTCACCATCTCGAATTGTTGAGTTAAGTAGCGAGCCTCTTTGCTGTCCGGGTTGCTGAGCAGCTCGGCTGAGGCCACAAACACGGCCTCCAAGACGGGGTGTAACTGGCCCACAGTGGCAGCTAGCACCTCAGAGGCTTGCCCATGATCTCCACACCTTTCTCTATCTTGTCCCTGTTGTTCACGAGCCAGTCTGCCACACTGTTCATCTTTGAACTATATGTTTCACAGTAACTAATCTAAAAGGATTTCCAAAGGCTTTGCTGGTGCCTGAAAGGAGAAGAAACACGAAACCCTTGTGAAGTTCATTGATTAGACTTTTTAGCATTTCAGATAAAATATGGCTCAGCTTTTTCTTTATTTTAGCAAATATAAGTAACATAAAGTCTCTCTCTGTCTTTTTCAATCCTTTCTCAGCATGCATGGTGCTCCTGTGTAGGAGAGTGTTTGCAGTCTCAGGAATAGGTTCTCTAAGAACATGTTCCTGACAAACAAACTCTACAATAAAAGCAAACATCAGGTCATGTCAGCACATGTAGGCATCCAGTTTCAGGCCGCGCCCTCAGAGCACGAGTTAATGACAGGGACTCGTTTTAAGTCCTGGTGGCATTGACATAGGTCCAAAAAAAAAAAAAAAAAAATTAAGTACACAAACGAGTCATGGATGGTAAAACAGAACAGATGTCAAATATGGTATGTGTACTCATGAATTATGACGTGGACATATTGTGCAACACTGCAGTGCTGGCCTTTTGGGATGTCATTTTTACTTCTCTAACAATAGCCAAGAACCAAAGCAAACACAGATGTTCACAACATGGGTAAAAAAGGGGATTTACTTCGATGATGATTCTATATTTTTCTATGTAAAATACCCAAAAGAGATGAGCTAACTAATTTCTAGTTCCCTGGAGCTCAGAAAAAGGCACACCCAAGACTGAGAGAAGAAAATCCCCCACCAGTGCACTTGTTCAGTAATACAACCACATTTCCCTCCTCATTACAGCCTCAGTTTAATTGAATGCACCCAGATGTAATATTTGTGAGGATTTACTTTGTGTAAAAAACCACAAAAATACAAGTTTATATGTAACAACAGTTTATCAGCTCACAGTGACTGCTGCAGTGATGAGATCAGTGGTGTCATTTTACAGCCTTTCCTATCACTGTGCTAATTAGATTTACTTCATTTGGTAACATACCAACAGATTTTTTTGTGCATTTCTATGAGAATCAAATGACAAGCAACAAAAATTAACTTTTCAAAATTTTAATTTGGAATTAAATAACAGATTTAGATTCCATTCTAATGAAGGAAAACAAAAATAGGGAGTAAGTATTTACTGAACATCTTGGTAATTACTTGGTAATAACCTCCCTTGTTAAACCAAAAAGTCTTCTTTGACATCAAACATATTTTGGTGAGAGAAAGAGAGGAGAAAAAGGCGAGTCCCACACAGGCACTTGATCAAACTCCGGTTTTTCCTCTAAGTGCGACGGAGACTTAACGGCTCTGTCGCACTTAGGATGTGGTTTTTCAAGTGCCCACATCCTCTGAAAGACTCACTCTACCTGTGGCATTCCAGTTAAAAATTTCATTTAATGTTGAGAGCATGAAATGAAAATGTAAATGTTTATATGGATATAGGCAATGAGTTTCTCTTTCTTCCTTCCTTTCTTTCTTTAAAATAATGATAAATGATGAAGATTCTCAACAAATAATTAGAAAAGAATGAAAAAACTCACCTTTTTAGTTAAATGTCCAATGGGCTGCAGTCCAGTTATCCAGTAGTCCAGCTGTGCCTGTGAGCACCAGCCTCCTTAGGATATATATATAGTCTCTCTCTCTCTCTCTCTCTCTCTCTCTCTCTCTCTCTCTCTCTCTCTCTCTCTCTCTGTCTAGGCTCTTGTCACTCCCCCTTTGCAACTCCTCTATCCTGTTCCAGCATTCCATAAAATAACCCACTCAGAGGGATGAGAGACCAGCGCTGACACAGATAACATCCTGTAAACACTCCCCTATGCAGGGACACCAAGCACCCTGGGAACAGATAAAAAAATAAAAATACTGGTTTGTGTGCGTGAGTATGAATGCAAGAGAAAGAGAGACAAAGATAGACAAAGGCAGTGTGAAAGAGACTAAAAAGGAGGCCAGTCACAGTAGGGCTCAACTACGTGGCCACCAGCACAAAACCCTCTTGTTGTGGCTCGAACAAGGTTGCCATGGCCACTGCACCGGCTCCCCCAACTTGTGTGAGACGCTGCATGCTTGAGAACCAAAGTGAGCTCTCTGTTCTCCAGCGAGTTGGGATCCAGAGCAAGTTAGCTAGACTCCTAGGTGATCTTATAAATGTTGACCTACTTTACTTTAAATCTGATTATTAGCAATAGAAAGTTACAGCTCTGTGGAGTCAAGCTTTACAAATCGGGATGACATTTGCCCTGCAGGGGCAGCACTTTCAGAATCAGTCCGTCACAGCGCAGACTACAGACAGGCGGTCTGTGTTTCTGACATTCAGAGTTCACTCTGAGCCTTTGTGCTTTCTAAAGCAGTCATCTGTGCCACTTTAGGCACGATAAAGAGGCAGGAGGAAGAGGAGAAACTGCAATGTGTGACAAACTGAAGCTGGTCAGCTGGGCTTCCTTGTTCCTGTGTCGTCCTTCTGTCACATCTCACACTTGAACTAATTGTGACCATCGGAAACCAGAGAGTGGGTTTCGCAGGGACTCAACAGTATGTGGTGTGATGGGTGGTACAGACTGATGCTGGTAAACATTCGCTGCAGATGCCTGAGCGTGACGTCGCTCAGCTGGAAGACCTCGGATGCTGCTTTTTCTTTTCTTTAAGCCGGCAAAGAAATGATCAGCAAACACACACACACATGCACTGTGTCCTGACATTTACTTTCAAGTGAACAAACAACACGGCCTATTAAGGTAGTCTGGCTCCAGCATCATAGAAAGTGTTGAATTTGTAGAAAAGTTTGGCCTTTGTTGTTTGTGGTTTCAGGCTTGCCAGGTGGAAACATGGCTGAAATATTTGCGATAATGACAGCCAGCTGAGGGGAAAGAGGCCGTTTCATCTCTTTACACTGCATGTTAGGAAAGCTGACTTAGGAGTCTCATTCCTGATTTTGTGTAATGAGAAGTCCTTTGAAAGTTGTGCCTTCCTTTGTTTTTAATGAAAGTACAAACTTGGGCTTATTGCGCTTCATTGCCTGCTGCTGAATAATATTTGAATCAGCAAAACACAAGTAAAAAGCTTGTGTAGATTGTATATTATGCATTAATGGCATGTTAAACAAAGCTCATGACCATTTTGTCTTACCTTGACTTATCCAATCACAGAGTTTGTTTATGTCTGGAAGCTAAAATGATAAACGGCTGTCTTTTTCAAGGAAGCATGGCCATGTTTTATCATTTTGACCTTGGTCAATGACAAGTGTTTTCTCCTCGCCACAAGATGTCTCTTCAGCTCACAGGAAAAGCCCCCATTGGTTCATCTCATGGCAGAAGATGCACAGCATTTTCTGGGAAGGGTTGAGTGTTTCAAAATATCAATAGCTCTAATTATGAGACAAGAGAAAGCACTTATTCAGAAGATAAGATTTCTATTATGTATATTAAACTATAGATAGAGGTGCAGACACAGGCTCGATACAAACAAGACAGATGGCCAACGATTTTTAATTTGAAATTCAGACTTCATTTTGGCAGAGCTACAAGCAAACCTCTGAAAATGTTGAATACATGCCTCAAGATAAACGTGCTTCACTCACATCAAAAAGACAGAAGGTGCTTACGGCCATTTTCTACCATGTCCCGAAAATCCACACAAGAGTATGAGCTCAGTATGTCGAAGGATTGCTTCATAAATAGAAAGTTGTTTAGTGGGAAAGACAGGATTTAGTAACCGTCATTGGCTGACTCCCGTGGGAAAATAAAGGTGGGCAGGGCAGACAGGTCCTTTGAAATGTGTTTCCTGGTGAGATGGATGTTTGATTGTGAGATATTGCCAGAGGGACGAAACAGCAGAATGAAAGTTGATTCGAGTCCAGATTATCACCTTTTAACTTTTCTCTCTGCGCTGTGTGTATTTGAATGACAGGAAGGGATATGTTTAGCTGTTTGAAGAGCTCAGTGTAGTAAAAACAGAGATGAGCGATTTAAAACTGTCCATAATGTCTCATAATGAACTGTGTTATAGTTGAGCTACATCCCACATTATGTGACGTAATGTGTGAATAAAGACAGACACAGTCAATGCCACAAATGCACGTAGACCATAATATGACCTTATTGCTGTCAAAGCCAGCCAGACTCATTTGGAGATCGTAATGCCAGATGTAACTGCAAATGATTCATTATGATTGATTTATCAGGAAAAGCAACAACCAACAAGTTAAAATGCTGTTTGAAAAACCAGCATGAACTCTGTAAGCAGATTGCCCAATCGGCTCACTGCAATAATTCTTGAAAAATCTCATGCAGAATAGGTTTTTCATATCTAAAGCTATTTCAAAATCACCTAATCCTTTGGACAGCTGATGGCATTGTTTCCTTTAACACTGAACATCTCTATACTTAAAACATCTCAGACTAAGTGGTTGTTCCTTTATCAGCTAATCCTAGTAACACTGGTCTTTATTGAGTCCTCCAAAGCCACTGAAAAGTAGGATCAGCAGAGCTGGTTTTCAGTCACCGAGATGTCTGCGAAGTCTTGTGGTTACTGACTAAAGGAGAAAAAATATATATAGTGGAAACCGTCATTGGTAGCTGTTTGGAGGAAAAGGTGAATGGGCAGGTGCCAATTTACGGCCCAGCAGGAGGTTTTGTTTTAGGTGATTTATACTAAAGGTGATAAACAAAAAGGAAAAAAATCTAATTTTTAAAACTTCTGTTAGAACAACTGTTAGATAACATGAATTAGGTACCTCATTACACTGCTCATTACAGTGCTGGTAAATGATGAAGGAGATTATAAAACTAAAGATAAACAGAGGAGGACAATAAAAATCAGAAGTCAGAAGGAAATAAAAAAAAGTGTGTGTGCCCCTTTTTAGTTTGAACTCTTTTGTTTGTCCAATGCAAAAATGATCTTTTCATTTACTTATCAGAGCAAGTAGCAGCACACCAAAAAGCTGAGGATAGAAAAGGAAAATATAAATATATTTCACAGCAGGTATGTTGGATATGTTGGACATGCTATGTCTGCCATGGTGTCTACATTTCAGGGGTTTTAATGCGGTTGGATCATTGAAAACGAGCGGAGATGGAGAGAGTAAGTTCTTCTATGAAAAGACTATTGGAGCCTTCATTGCAAAAAGAATATTCTGGAGAATTAAATGAGAGTTTTTGTTATTTTGGGGTTTTTTATGAACAGAGAATTTGACCCGTGATACAAAGACATCTGCATAATTTAATTCAACAATTCAAAGGGATCATCACTTTAATGGCACGTGATGGTGGTGCCTGAGAGATCAAATTTGTTAAAATATTTCACCCCTCGCCAAAGCAGTTGCACTGAGCAGCCAACCAGCTCCCTGCGCCTTGCATGCAGCTTGTTTGGGTTAAAACACACTTACATATAAACACCATCTTGAGCCTGGAATTTCAGAGATGCCTGAAATTTCTCTATCTAAATGTCCTTCAGGGAGGTTTTGTGATGAAGTCAGCCCAGAATGTCAGCATACACTGTATTTGCACAGGAATGTGTCCAGTGTGGGTTTTGGAGCTCACGTCTGCATTCTGAGTAATGTTGGGTTTCCCTCCCTGGTCCAGATGCTTCCAGGTCACAGAGAAGCGGGCATAAAGAGACAGACTGAAGCATCTCTTTGGTCTAAATAAGTCAAGAGAGAGCAAGGACAGAGGAACAAGTACTTCCTCACTTCATGTTCATGGAAAATGAAAGCGACCCAGCTGCTACCAGTTCCCCTTTGCTCATTTTCAATAGTAATAATATGCTTAACTTGAACCATGTGGACAAAGACTTAGTTGTTACTTTGAGAGTAGTGTCTCAGATTAATCTGAGTTTTACTAATTAACAATAACCACATTCAGTGGACCAAAACGTTGGAATCAAACCCTGATCTATTCCCAGCCTTCTTTTTATTGAGTTGGTGTGTACAGTTTTTACAGGATCACTACATAACACAAGTGAACTTTGCCCAGTCTGAGTCACGTACCAACAATCTGTATGCACAACAGGGACTCTGGTGGCTGTCTGGCTGTCCTCCTTGATAAAAATCCATCTGTTGCTCAAGCAGATCGATACAAACTCGGGTTGGATTTAAGGAAATAGATGGGGAATCACAGGCTGAAAGTAGGCAGCGTATTGATTGCAAGAAAATTCACCTCAAGTCAATAATTGCCCTTCTACAAATTGAGCCAAACCACCTTCAAGCTCCATGTAAATTGGAAATCCAATTACTTCTTGCGGCATTTCACTCAATCGTTTAGTTTTACTACTAATTCTCTGAAAACCTCAAAAAACTTGTTCTGTAGTTGGTTTATAGTTACTTTGGTCATTATAGCCTCCTGTTGGGTTCCACTGACTTCTGAAAGGTATTGCAGTTTGGAGCTGTGAAAGGAAACGACAATTAGACATCATATGTTATTTTTCCATGTCAAAGCTTCGAGGTCTTAAAAATGAAACTAACATACAGGATAGGAAATTCAATACAGAATTACCACGGTAAGTCACTAATCTCTCTGCAGATGCATAAATAAGCCTGGGGGACAATTTATACTCTTCCAGCCCCTCCCTGAATGTTGAGGTTACACATCACCATGCTCTGCCTGGCTCCTAAATTATACTGTTGCTTAAAGAAACCACAGTGTGATTGCTACAGAATCCCCTCCCACACTAACTAAAATAAACTGTTCCTTCAAAATCTGCTTTAACAAAGTGGAAAGACGATCGCTGCAAAGAATCGTCTGCTAAGTCTTCTCCAGTTTTTTTCATGAATATATCAGAAAGAAAATCAAATTTCTGA